TTTTTTTTTTTTTTTTCTATATTTTAGTACAAGGTCTACAGGGTCTCACTATGTAGCTCAGACTCTAGTGATCTCACTGTGTTCAGCCTCCCAAGAGCCGGGATTACAGGTGCTCATCCACCACCCCTAGTCTCAATCGCCTTCTCAGCATGCCTCGGGAGCCAGGCTAGCACAGCACACCAGGGATCGAGCCCTAGCTGTGCAAAAAAAAGACCTTCTAAACTAACCCATTTTAAGTACCCCTACAGTGGGGATTTTTAAATTTTATTTATGGAAGAAAAAGAAAAGTGTAACTCCATACTTCCAAAAGCTCATCTCCACTGAAGAGTTTCCCACTGTGTCCAACAGGACCTTCTGGTAGAACAGATCGGATGAAGTGATGTCCCACTGTTGCTTCCAGACTTATGCCCAATCCACTGTTCTCACTAAACTTGCTCACATGAGCCACCTGAAAGGGGAAAATACCATCACAAGTTTGGTATATTCTTTCTTCTTTCTACTCATGCATGTATTTTATGTTCATTTCAAATTTTCAATTTTCTAACAAAGGTTCAAAACCTTACTATAATCCTGAAAGAGTACTTACATCTACTGGTTTCTTGAACCCAAAATAACAAAAACCAGCAGCCATCTGCAAACACCCAAGATGTTTTTCAGTGTGCAGTTGCTCTTAATAGATGGCAGGCATCTAGAACTTTTTTAAAGTCTTAGTGTAACAAGAGTACAGAAAGGACAGAGACTTATTAGCACTTGCTACTATGTGCCAGGGACTATGCTGACCTCATTTCAGAGGTTATCTCGTTTGCTTTCATACGCAGCTATAATTTCTTTGTATTAAAAAAAGCAAAATAAGATTAAGAGAGGTTAATTTAACCAGAGTTGTCCAGGTAGGAAAGAGCTGTTAGGCAGTTGGACCCTACAACCCTCCTGATCTTAAGTTGTACTGAGGGAAAACTATTCTCCTTAAGAACACTGAAAGTGAATAAAAGCTTCTTATATTCACTAATGAATCATGTCAGGAAATTACCTATTTTTGCACAGAATCCGATACTTATATTAAAATGAGTGTATGCTAAAGATGAGTAACTTTGACCTTTTATTTCAAATTTAAAGAAGCATATAAAAAACTTAGAAAAGGCTGTTTAAGAAGAGTTCACATCTTACTAGTAACTTCCGTAAAGTTACTCACAGAAGCAAAACCACTAGGCCTTGACACGTAAGGCTGGGTGCGTTCATCTCACCACCGAAACCCAACTGAGGCACCATTTCCTCTGAGAAGCCTTCCCAGCCCCGCTGACAGTGTTTACCAGTCCTCTCTCTGCTAGCCCACTGTCCATGACTGTATTTATGCAGCACAGCTGCGAGCAAATAATGTAAAGCAGATCTGCCTCTCACTGATCTCTGTCTGACAGAGGGCCAAAAGTGACTTACTTTTTCTTTGTTGAGCACTTCTGTCTTTGGCAGATTACTGGGCGCCCCACCACGAGAATTATGACTACCAGGACACAGAAGTTCAGTGTTGATTATGACGTCTGGGACAAAGTGGCTAAATGGATTCCTTCATTATTCAGCGGCTACCCAAAGAGCTACGTGCCTGCTAACATGGCTGCCATCTTAACCCCACCCCACTCAAGGACACGCTAAACTAATCGTTTTTCAGCTGGACATTAGGGCACTTTTCCTTAACTCAATTGAATATGGTAATAACAGGTTTTATTTACTTAATTCTCTTGAAGGTTAATCATCACTTACTTAAAACATTGTCGTTATGAAAAATAAAATATTGCATAGTAAAGAAGGGCTTGGTAATTGCTAGTTATTTATATTATATGTTAGTATCTGTTGTCCTTTATCTGTTCTGACACAGATAAATATAAGCTGTATGGAAAGATTCTATACAACTTACTGTTTTATTTTCCCTTTTGCTATCCCTAAAATATTTTGGTATATATCTAGAAGTTAATAATTGTGTCAACTTTGTTAAGCTTCTCTTTAGAACAGCAGATTGTGGTAATGTGACTAAACATATAAACTGTTTATGCTATAAAATATTCACCATGCTATACGGCTCACAGAAAAGTATTCTGAAATAATTTATTATAGGAAAGTGAGAAAGAAGGTGAGAGAAACAGATGTTCTGCAATTCTACACACAGGTCATGAGTTATATTTTAAACACTATCACTATTTTGATTCTTTATAAATTGTAAGTTTAAGAATGAGAAAAATACTGTCCATTATACTAACAGAAATATTAAAATACTGATGAAATATGAGTTATAAAACTTCCATTCTATTTATTTAAGCTCCTTGGTTACTGTGTATCATTTTCTATCTTGAGATATTTATAGGATCTAGATTAGCAGTTGAGGTCTTTAAAAAGAGCTAGATTTTTGATAATTCTCTGGGTCCTTTCTGATGATCATTATATCATACACACTTTAGAAAATTATGGCGAGTAAGCCAGCTTACCACTACTTCGTAGTTAATGCCCAGGAGCCCCTGCCACTTTGTCAGCAGCAGGGCGGTTTCTTGCTTTTTTGTGTCTTCTCTTTCCTCTCCCTCGTCTGAGAGTAACGGGCACCCTGAAATGGCCAAGGCACACGAGTGACAGTTAGAAACTCTGTGTCTCAGCCTTCTTTTCCAGACAGTGAGGAGAATCTGGCTGCTGTACCAAGTCACACTCTGCACCCTGTATTATACTCTTATTTCTACACTTGCTGTAATAACTTGATTTAGAACTGTATTCATTTCTAATAGATATATTTTAAATCTCAGCTACATTTCAACTAAAGTAGTCATATAACTTTTATGTAAAGGAAAGAGGACTCTAGATAGGTCTAGTATTCACGTGAAAGTCCTCTCAAGGCTCTGGTAAAAATCCATGTCATCTCTCTGTTTAATTTTCATGGAGCACTTCAAAAGCAAAAAGGGTTCTGCTATTACTGAACAAAGTAACAAATTAACAAATAATTAACAAAAAATAAGAAAGGTCACATACAATACAAAATATAAATTAAAAGAAGCAAATACTAACTTTATACTGAAAAAAAAGCCTTTAACTAAATCTCAATAATTAGAAAAAGGTAAATTAAAATAAAAATGAAAGGGGCCAGGGAGATAGCTCAGTAGAGTAATTGCTTGCCTGGCAAGCACAAGGGCCTGAGTTCAATCCCTGGTTCTGCCAATAAATGAATAAATAAATAAATACATATAAAAAAGAAAAATCATCAAATTGCACAAACAATGTTGAATTTAAAATGCTTAGCTAAAATAAGAAATTGCTTGGAAGAACTATAAATTCATATTTAATTTTTCTTTTAAGAAACACAGTTCTTACTCATCATGGCTGCCTTTTGAAAAATCTCTACTAGGTAGTGACCTCTAATTTTAGCATTCATTTAACTTCCAAATTTATTTATTTATTTATTTATTTATTTTTTTCAGGACTGGGGATTGAACTCATGACCCTGCACTTGCCAGGCAAGCGCTTATTCTACTGAGCTATCTCCCCCGGCCCCTTAACTTACAAATTTAAAGAGTGCTCCAAAGTTTAAATTTCTCATGGTCCCTTCCTTTTGGTGGAAAATGAAGAACACTTATTCCAAGCATATTCTGCAGATCTATTTTGTCCTAGGTTAATAAGATGGTTTCTTTTTTCTACCAGAAAAGGCTGCATACAAGATAATATAATTTCACAAAATTGGTGGAGTAAAACATGTAGCTTGGCAGTAGCCTGTATTGAGGCCCTGGGTGCAATCCCAAGGACAGGAGACAGAGGATTACCTGCCCTACCAAATAAGTGTTATCTTCGTAAAATTCAATTCACAACTAAGAGAGATGTCTACAAAGCAGAATCTTTAAATGGGATTCTAGGAGAGAAAAACATGGGTCATTAGAGTCCTATGTTCTCCACCCCACTTCCTACCATTTTCTTGTTTTACACAGCAGGCCAGGCTTTAATGAGGGCAAGATTATGAGTAAACAAACTGGGGAATCAGTATGCTACTGATAAAAATTCTGAAGTTCATACTAGTCAACCAACCTCAGTTCATAACCATTCTGAACTCTGAATGGCCTTAAGAATAAATGTCAGGCAAGATAGATAGATAGTGCAATAGAGAGACAGTTAATTGAGTTCTCTGACCTTGCTGAGAATTCAAATGACTTGCCCACGTTTGTGCAATGAGTCAAATATCTGTGGAAGGGGCAATGATATCTTGCCCATGTCTGAGGACTTGTATTAGATCAGATGTGTAAGAATCACAGTTCTGCTTCGTTCATTTCATTTAAAAAGAGATTCTGGGACTCCTGATTATATGTGTAATATATTCCCTTCCCAAGCACACAAATTTCTCATTAGCTGTCTTCATTAGAGCAAAACAAGATGATCCTGAGCTTTCAAGACAGTGCCAGGGAGACAGCTCAGATGCACAAGCACCTGCCTGGCAAGTGCAAGGTCCTAAGTGTGATTCCTGGTTTTAAAAAAAAAAATATATATATATATATATTGGTCTAAATAATTTATTTTTGTATTTTGTACAGGGTCTACAGGGTCTCACTACACAGACCAGACTCACAGTGATTCTCCTGTTTTCAGCCTCCCAAGCCCCAAGCTCTGAGATTAGAGGCCTCCCCGCCACACCCCTTCTCAATAGCAGTCTCTGTGCCCCGAGCGCACAGCACACACCAGGGAGGGGCTCTAACCTGGCCACTGTGCTCTGCCTAAGACGCTTAGTCCTCTGAGCTATTTGGCCGGCCCTAGCCCAGATAACTTCTTCACCTCTTAACATAAAAAGTGGCAGAATATGATTAGTATGTGTGAGCCCTACACATCTTCCTTACACAATATTCTTTATAAACACCCATTTAAAATGAAAAAGAAATCAGTGTTTTCAGCAGAAAAATTGCAGTGCGGTGTAGGAACGTTGACAAAGGGCACAGTTCCCACGAAGGGCAGGAGCTGCATGTCAGGCTGCACTCAGTGGATTTACAGTCCCAGAAAGCAGGCAAGTGACCAGAGCACATAAACCAGTGAGGCAGGCACAAGACGAACACAGCACACGGCACAGAGATGGCAGCACCGTTCCGACACAACGGCCCTCTGAGCAGCGCTGCCCCGGAAAAGTCTGCAGAGCTTCGTGGGAGAATTCCCAGGAAGTCTGATAAGGTCTCAGTAGAAGTATTTTTCAAACCACCTTCTCAATGTTAAAATTTAGAACCTTTTAATAAATTTGAAAAGTGAAAGACAGCTTTCCAAAACTGGACAGTTTCAATCTTACACTTTAAAAGACTTACATAAGTTTATCTTTAAATACTATACTTTATTATTTATTATTATATACTCAGTAAAGCAGAGACTTGTTAGTTATGGGGACACAAAAGGATTAAATTTAAAATCAATCAATCAGTCTGTCTATCTATCTATCTATCTATCAAAATAACTGATTCCTAAAGGATCCTGGTGAAAAAAAAAAAAAAAAGAAAAAACAGACCAACTGAGCAAGAAAATGTAACAGCTGTAAATAAATTATTTTCATATATGAGAGCAATTATTTATATCTACTTATATAAATATTTATAATCTAAACTTTCAGAAGATCTTTTAGTAACTTACAGCATTATCTACAAAGGTTCAATTTCATTTTAAAAATTTCTGCAAAAATATAATAAAGAACATCATAGCCTGTCTGTAAATGTTTACCTTCTTCTTCAATTGGTAATATGCTGACATTTCTCCTCAAAGATGAAGAATCTTCATCTTTCTCACAATTTTCTAAAGATAAAAACATTTAATAGTGATTTCAGTAATATCTTCAAGGAGTTCAGTTTTCTAAGGCACTCTAGTTATTTGAACCCTAAAAGAAAGTCCTATTTTCAATATAAATTCCATAGTAACTGTGCGTAAAGCGAAGTCTTTTAGTAAATGAACAAATACTCTATGATCTGCTTCCCCGTATTCTAGCACCACAATAAGTACCATACAGCATAAACACCAGAATAATTAACATTCTTACAAATAAAATAAGCACTCTTCCAACAGTATTCTCATTATCTCACAATAAACTCTTCTGCCAGTGAGCTGCATGGCATTTCAGTGACTGGCAGAAATATTCAGGTAGAAACAGTTTAAGAGTGGCACAGCATTTCTATTTTTGGGGGTATTTTTATTATTTTATTCCTTTAAAGAAGAAAGAAACAAAATCAAATAATAAGAACAAAGATAAAATCAAAGTACCACAGACAGTACAAGTGGTATAGAACTTCAAAACAAGAACAGGAAATTAACAATGGTTGCTATATTTCATATTGTTATCATCAAATTTGTTGCCAAGACTGCCAGACACAGGCAAGTTGCTCCAATCTCACGCCAGAAAGAACGGCTACCATAAAAAGATTAACTAATAACAAATGCTGGAGAGGCTGCAGAGAAAAAGGAGCCCTTCCTGACTGTTAGTGGGAGTGCAGACTAGTACAACCTCTCTGGAAAACAGTGTGGAGATTCCTCAAAAAACTAGGATTGGAAGTCCCATTCAATCCAGCTATTTCCCTTCTGGATATTTTCCTAGAAGAGCTGAAATAACATGCCACAGTGATATGCGTGCCCCACGTTTACGACGGCACGATTTGTCATTGCTAATCTGGGAAAACACCCAAATGCCAATCAGCTGAGGAACGGGACAGAGCTTCTGGAGGTAGCATTTCAATTGGTTCCTCCACAGGAAGAGGGCTGCTAGCATGAGCCCTGGGCTCTCAGAATCACGGACATGCTGTGCAGAGGTGACTCCTAGCCAGAAAGGTGAGACGATGCAGGCAGAGGGGACATAGCTTCAGGTTTACAGCTGAGAAATGGGGACTGAAAGGATACAACAGAAAGAAATGTGCTTTATTAAAACCTGTTCTACAGTTCACGGACTGGTTGGCAGTTCTAGGTAATTCCAACTTTATTAAACATCCTCTTTTTACTTGGTTCATTATAAACAGTTCAGGATAAAAACTGTTCTTTAAATTATTTTAGAATTAGAAAAAAAATCTACATGGTACAAAATTCTAACCAAACCTCAGATTAATCTGGCACTACCTTTGCTCATGCTGGCATTCACTGGAGACTCATTCGCATCCTCTGTGACTTCCTGCCTCGACAGGAGCTCTGTCTCCTGCGTCACTCCCCGCCTCATCAGTGTCAGGTGCACAGTCTGTCCCGTGTGTCGCAGTACCTCTACTGCTTGTTGATTGGTAAAGCCTTGGAGGTTGGTGCCATCTACCTGTAACAACAACATGTAAAGGAATGGCCCACACGTAAGGACTGGCAAGATAGATCTGCAGACCAAGGGCCTGCTTAGGCAAGAGCAGGGCCTGGGCATTGGTCCCTGGCACGACGTGCTGTGCTGGCCACACACAGGAGAAGGCCAGGTTCAAGCTAGCCTGAATCCTACCCAACTGCCTATTCATCATTCTACATAGTAAAAATGTAGTTTTAAGAAAAATACAATATGCTTGTTTTTACCTATTAGCAATAAAATTCCAATATGTAAAAAACATTTTAATTTTCAAAACTTAGTAATACTGATTTTAAAATACATTCCTTACTCAAATGTCAGAAGCTGGTATGAGCACTGAAAAAATCCCCACATTGAACTAGCCCAAATTATTTGTAGCAGACTTCAGTTGTATCTTATCTACAATATGGAAACGACGCCCACTTCCCCAGACTGACCGTGCCTGGCACTTTGTTTCGGGATCATCAAGAGCTGGCCTGGTTAACCACAAAATAAAAGCAATACCCATGAAAACCCCAAGGCCACATCAGAACAATTTCTGTTCAGTGTGTTTACACTTCATGCTGCATGTGAGCCACAGACACCAAAGCCTCATTCAGGAGTCCCAGCGCTGTACTCTCTTGATCCCAGGAACATTTAAGAGTCAGTTTGGGCTTTCTGACCGTACAGACAAGATTGCAATGGAACTAGGTACAATAGAAGCAGACTGCCTCTCTCACAAAGACAATTAGACTTTTATCAAGAGCATGGCCAAAATCACAATTAACAGAAGCAATTACAGGAAAGAAATTCTAGTTGGCATGACTCACAAAACTAGCTTCTTAGCACAATCAGTGCAGCTTCCTCCAACATGGCCTACCCTACCAGAAGAGAATCTTTGTTAACCTCTTAAAGTCATAGACTAGTAAAGAGAACATTTGACACTTTCCCCTCTTCATAAGCTATTGAGCAAATTTTTATCTGTCATAATTCTAGCGTAAATCATGGACTACTGAACTGAAAGAACAGTGCACAATTTTATCAACAAGTTTGGTTAGCTATTTGAAAAAAAAAAGTAGGAGTCCTTTGTCTAACATTTTCACAGAATACCAACGTATGAAAAAGCAGTGGGGGCTAGGGAGATAGTTTGGAGGTCTCAGCACCTGCCTGCCAAGTGCAAGGACCCAAGCACGATCCCCAGTACTGCATGCCGTACAGGCCACTGAAACCAGTCGTGGTGGTACACGCCTGTAATCCCAGTGCTGGGGAGGCTGAGACAGGAAGATCACTATGAGTCCAACCTGCATAGCAAGGCCCTGCACCAAATTAATTAAGTAATGTATTTATGTAGACTGAGTTGGTGGGGAATAGAACCATTCTTTTTATTTCCTGCCCTGTCAGGCCTATAATGAAACCCTAGGGCCCACAGAACACAATTTGTAAAAAAACAAAAAAATTGTTGACAAATAGTTTTAGGTTGTAAAGTAACATTTCTTCAAACAATAAAAAATGATTTCTTAATCTTCTCAGCACAGTATAATTTTAAAAAAAGGATATACTTTCAATAGTTGTTGTCAAAAGAAAAGTAGACAAAAGACTACAGCTGTGAAAATGCAACTAAATGTGGAGAGTCTTATTACCAAAATATCAAAAGTCCACAAGACGGTGACATTTTGCACAAAATTAATGGAGGAACAAAAGCACTGTCCCATGTTTCCTAGTTTGAGGTGCTTCTCATTGTGAACTAAAAGGATAGTGTTGAAAATTAAACATCAAAAATCAAAACATTGATATTAGTGAAGAAAAATGATTTTACTGAAAGCAAGAAGTTTACTTCTACATTTCGAGGTAACTATTTCTTTTATCACTGAATTGCTTAAGAGGAACTAGCTTGTGATTCCACTTACATAAAATAAATACAATGATAAGTTTAACGGGAAGCATTTTGAGTTTTTTCAACTACATAATCATTTTAGGTCCTCAATAAACATCACCTGAATTAACTAAAATGTATTTATGTGCTTATACAAGATATTTTAAATGAAGATCTGATTTCATTATCCTAAAAATTATATGAAGAAAGTTTTCCTATTGGTGGTAATTTGGTGGTAAGGAAACTTAAGTTTGCCTATGAGTTACATATAAAATTATTATAAGATCTAGCACTTTCACTCCTCAGTGCATAGCAAAAAGAAATGAAAATATAAACCCACATAAAATCTTTTACATCAATGTTTATAGTAGTACTGTCCCCAATAGATAAGTAGTAAAAACAACGTAAATATAGTACTCAACTCACACGTGGGTAAATGTATTTTCATATAAATAGTATATTATTCAGCACTAAAAGGAAACGAAGAACAAATATATTCTATAACATAAATGAATCCGGAAAATATGCTAAGTGAAAGAACTAAATCATAAAAGAACTCTGCTACCTTTTTTAAAAGTGTGGTAAAAATACATAAAAAATTTACTGTATTACCATTTTGGAAATCAGTGTGGAGATTCTTCAAAAAGCTAGGACTGGAGGCTCCATTCCAGCCAGCTATTGCCCTCCTAGGAATTTTTCCAAAAGAACTGAAATCATGACACCAAAGCAATATATGTGCACCCATGTTTATAGCAGTACAATTTGTCTTAGCTCAATCTTGGAAACAACCCCACACGCCCATCAACAAAGGAAAGGATAAAAAATACGGTATTTTCATACAATGGAATATTATTCCACTATAAAAAAGATACATTTGAAGAACTTATAGATAAATGGATGCAACTGGAAACTGTAATAAATCAGCTCCACATGTGCAAATTTGTATTATCTCGCTAGTGTGAGAACCTGAAAGAGTAAAGATAGTCTGAAAGACACAACAGAGGCTGTGAAAGGGAAAGAACTTGTTCAGTGGGAAGGGAAAACCGGGAGGAGAAGGACCGAAGAAAGAAGGAGGAAGGATAGATTTATGTCTATATGCAGGAAAATTTGGATAATTATACTGTCAAGTTCTGCTGGTCTTTTGAGAGGAGCATTTAATACTTAATATGTTTTTCTATTCTTATATTTTCTTTTTAATTTCTTCTACCTTTCTTTGTTTTTTTTTTAAAAACCAATTTTGGACGTTGATATCTGGTAACCTGAACAAATAATTTGAAGATAACATCATACAATATAACAACCATTGTTGAATTCCTACTACTTTGTTTAGTGAAATTTTGTATCGTTTCTAAGGCTTTTTTTGTTTAATTACTATTTTGTATTCTTTAAAAAATAAAAAAATTACTCTATTACCCATTTTAAATGTAAAATTCAATGAAGTATGTTTACACTGCTTTGGTAACACACAGAAATTTTTCATCTTGCAAACTGAATCACTATTCCTCTAAGCAACTTTACATTCACCTCTCTGCTGCCCTTGGTCACCAATATTCTACCCTCTGTTTCTCTCAAGTATGGCCAGTTTGGTGACCTCACTTAAGTAGAATTATCTAGTGTTTCTTTCTATGACTCGCTTGCTTCACTAAGCACAACGACTCCGACACTCCTCCACGTAGGGTGGTACTGTTCTATTCTTTTTAAAGACTGAGGAGCACTGCACTGTGCGTACACAAACCACATCTCATCCATCAGTTCATCTATCAGTAAGCACTTGGCTTGCTCCTGTGAGTTATTACTGTCATAATATTGCTATGATTGAGGACTTTTATCTTAATATTCCATCTTCTTTCTATTATTAAGATTCCAAAGGAACAGTAGAGACAATTGACAGTAACAAATATATATTAAATATGCATTCCTTGGGGCCAGGGAGATGGCTCAGTAAAATAAACGCTTCCCTGGCAAGTGCAAGGGTCTGAGTTCAATCCCCAGTTCTGCCAAAAAAAAAAAAAAAAAAAAAAAGAGTAGATTAAATAAGCATTCCCAAAGACATCTTCAAAGAAGATTAATATATACTTAGGAAGAGAAGATCTCACAAAAGCCAAGGAAACACTGAGGTAAAAGGTAAACAGATTACTGTAGGACCTCTCAGAGTCTTCAGTTTTTCAATATGTAATGTAAGCCCCTCAGAAACCAAATCATATGCAGTTTTTCTTAACCATAGTGCTTGGTGAGGATCTCCAACTTGAGTTTCAGGGAGTAGTTTGGGCAACCCAGTTTCTACTGAACAATGAACTAAAAGCTGGATTCTTTCATGGTCAGATGCTTAGAAACATAGTAATACTGCTACCATAATATCATGAGTTAATCTAATAAGAAAAGCTGGACTGAGCTGGGAATACAGGTCAGCAGCAAAAGCACCTGCCTGGCAAGCACAAGTCCTGAGTTCAAGTTCCAGAACAAAAAAACAAAAAACGGAAAAGCTGGATCCATTTATTTTATTGTTGTGTATATTTTAGAGCTGAAAGGCATTCTCTCTATGGAGCCAGATATCTGGACTAAAAATGTGTGCCTCAGAATTCAGCTTCAGGTACCCCAAGAAGGCACGGCAGTGGTCTCTCCCTATGGAGTGTCTGCACACTATGATATTAACTTAAGAATTCATTGTGGCCAAAAATGTTATATCCCAGATGTTATTTGATAAAAAATGTTCTTATTTAGAATTAATTAGTAAAGCTTCCATGCAATGCTTTGTTTCTATGAAAAAATAAAAAAGGTTACTGTGTGTTGGTAGCCTCAAGCCCAAAATTACCAGTTAACTGTATTTCTCAAAACTAAGTAAAATAGAAGAATAAAATTCTCAAAGATGAAAATTTACAATACTATCATTAAAGATGTAACTTACTGCTATAATTTGGTCTCCAATTTGGATTCTTCCATCGTGTTCAACAGCGCTGCTTTTTGTAATGCTCTTTACAAAAATTCCTGATGGTTCTATGATCAGAAACAGGTTATTTTCACTACTTACAAAACAGTTAAACAGTGTGATTGCCCATTCTCCAAATAAAAAGTCCTAATTGAGAATAAATACATATCAACAAGCCACACAAACACACACTATAGCAAAATCAAGGCAAATATTCTGTCTATCATATCAGCATCATCTACACTACTTCTAAGGAAGTTTTCAGCTAGCTAATCCAAAAAGCTTGATTTAATTTCTTAAGATAAAAATATTAGAAGCTATTGTTATTTTAAGAAATATTTAGGTTTGACTTACCTAATTTCTTATCTCCAATATAACCAGCAATAGTAATTCCTAATCCTTGAACATTTTTAGTGAGTTCTACATCAAATGTCTCACTTTCCTCGCTTTTCTGAGTAGAAGCATCAACCTGAAATTTATATACATACATGAATATTATACATTATATATTATATACATATTATATATATATATATATATATATATATATATATATATGGAGAGAGAAGTAAACTTGTAAAAAACAAAGTAAATTCAAAAATCCAAATCACATAATAAGGTGTCAGAGAACTCTGCTAGAGAATTACACTCGATTCCTTCTTCAATGGTAACAACATGTACTCAGCACATTTTTACTGATAAAGGAATGTCAAGAATAAGATTGAGTTTCCTTTTAGAGAAGGGACATATTATTGTTTGCATACTCAACATTTTAAAAATTAAACATTTTCTTATTAAATTCTATGTTCAGAATTGGTTTGATTTCTGAAGGATTCGGGTTGTTGTCACTGAAAGAACTCACATTGTGAACTGAAATCCACTTCTGCCAGTGCTTTGTTCTAAGCATCTCTGCACAGTTGTCTACCAAGAATCAAAACAACCATTGCAGCCACCATCTACCGAGAAGCTCCTACATGAAAGGCACCTGACATGCCTCAATCTCTTACCCCTTACAACAGTGCAATAGTGTTTAGATTCCCACGAGCCAGTGAGGTAGGCGCAGCTGCTCTATCAAGACTTTCATTGCTCCCCTAAAGGAGTGCATCCTTCCTGAGGGTATGCAACTCTAAGTAAAAATTTATAACAGTTATTATCTTAGGGGAATGAGTTACATAACTTTTCTCAGGACAAACAGCTGAAACTATCATAGTGGTAAATTCAAGCCTGGTTGCAGGCTTCCTTCTCTTAAATGATATGTAGTATATAAAGCCTCTGGTAGAATACAAAGATGGAAATATCCACATGTTAGTTGATATTTTGTCTTCAGTTTATATTTAACTGCAGTGACATGAACCTCAATCAATCTGTCCTGTAGCTATATTATAAATGGCCTGACTGGAGTATGATTTTGGGGTTGGTTTGTTTGCGGAACTGGGGATTGAGCTCAGGACCCTGCGCCTGCCAGGCAAGCACTTATTCTACTGAGCTATCTCCCCGGCCCCTGGAGTGTTATTTTGAAAAGGAGTAAAATACATAAAGGCGATATTTTAAACTGTCTTTATTTATTTTGAGAATTCAGACTATAAAACGCTATTATTAAGAGAAGTTCTTCTTTCTTCACTAGTATCTTGCTGGAATGAAAACTGGAAATGGTTTTTCAAATGTCAGCTTTTTCTAACAGGCAGTGTTATTAACTGTGTCCCCTCAAGAGCAAAAGTTCCTACACCAAACCTCTGTGGCCTGGCACAGGACATGATCTGCATGCTAGGGGCACTACTCACAGGGTGAGCCCAGCAGCCTGTAGAAAGCCCCAAGAAGAACATGGGAAGACAAAGCTAATGAGTTCGAAAGGCCACGAAGGCTGGGCTCAGGGGATAATATTTTCTGATTTTCCTTCAACAAATTAAGTATATGTAACTGCTAGTCCACCTACGATTTTACAGTAAAGTTTGATTTAGTTTTCATTGCACACAATTATCTGTGCAAACTTAGCAAAAGTTTAAAGTTTAGATAATTACAAGAAAATGACAGGATGAAATCTGCTTCAATTGAAACAAATGTGTTTTCTATTTTTAATAAGACTTATGCGAGTGCTATTTTGGAGGGTGGCAATTTGACTATCGAATGGTTTTAAAAGGGGCACAAGCTTCAGAAATGATGATATGCACAGAATAGATATTTTTCTAAGCTTTCAATTACATCAAGTGGTTTTCGGTACTGAATTCATTTATATATTGCTGAATAAAATGTTTTGTTTATCACAAAAGAATGCCATTTAAACACTTTCATAAACAAGATTTCTTTCTTCTTTCTCTTTGCAAAGAATAGCAAGCAAACTCAAGTCCAAAAATAGCAGAATCATGCAAATTTCAAGTGTCTTAATAAGGTTTTAAAGGGCTAGTAGAAGAGGTTAGGATTTTTTTTTTAAAAATGTGGTAACTGGTTAAAAACAACTTTAATAAAAGAAAACAGACATTTTTCATCTATGGAAGAGGTATATATGACTTGAATTTTGGTCAGGTTTATCACCAAATTGGGTAAATTTCTCTTCTTAAATAGTTCAGAGGTTTCTAGATAGAATTATTTTGCTGCTAATATGCACCTTAGCCTTGTGACCTACAAAGCCGATGAAATAGCTACTAACTTCCAACAATTTAGAAAATTTTATAGTTTTTCATATCAAGAACAAAGACAGAACATTATACTTAAATAAATAAAACTTTTATTATAATACCAAAATCCCAACTCTTGCCTTAAAAAATTATATAACTGTGTCAAGAACACTGAATACTCGTAAATCTCATAGCTCTGAGATATACACTCTACAAGAGTAACACTGAAAAGTTCTGAAGTGTATGTACTCCTACCAAGCCTCCTGCCACTCTCCAGCCCTCACACACCGAAAACAAAAACAAAAAGACTGAAAAGAAAGTTGTTAATGGAATGATTAGAACTATGACCTTAAGGAAAGCCTTTTCTAAGATAAAAAATATAATCAAGTATTTTAGGTATGAATAGCAAATAATTATTTATAACATATTATTCATATTTCATAACTTTAACCTCATAAATGAGCTGCTTAGAGAAAAATATAAAATTATCTAGCATTTTAAGTAAACAATGTTTCATGTTTTCTATATTTGTAATTAATTATATTAGTGCCAAAGCATTCCCACATTTGATTTTGTTAATTAACACTAATATATGAACATTAATAAATCTAGGTTTTAAACAAATATCACCATCACCTCAGAGCTAATTACTCTGACTTTCAGAATAATTCTTTTATCTACTTACCCGCATCTCTAGTGTGGAAGAGGAGGAGGGAAGGGCAATGCCTAGAGAGGTGGGCGTGGCAGCTTCCTCAGTGGCCCCTCTTGCAATCATCAGTCGAACCCTATTTCCACACTGCCTAAGGACTTGCGCTACTTGCTCGCTGCTCATTCCTGCCAGATCAGTGTCGCCAATCTTTAAAATATGGTCTCCACTGCGTAAGCGTCCATGCTTCACAAGAGATTAAATACCTAGGTTATTATTCTTATAACTGCATCAGAGAAACCCTAAATGACAGAAATTTTTAAAAAGGTAACAGTGATACAGTACTATGGCAATCATTGGACATTAAATATGTAATTGCAATATTAGCTACCTTCTAAACCAATTTGGCTTTAGTCAGTATATTTAAAAAAATTCACAAACATTCTTTAAATTAATAGCTGATGAGACCTTTTATTCTAATTTATAAACACTAAATGCAAGACAAAGTTTTATAACTATTTTGGAGGGCTAGAAATCAGAAACTTTAGCAAGCGAGGATAATGTATGAAGTCACCATGAAAATAAAATATATAGTAGTTTAAATAAATTACTATCTACAAAATAATACTTTCTTGATCCCATAATTTTCTACCTGGCTGTTTCAATCAAAACTATTCCAAAAGATTCCATTAGCACATGAAATTCTAGTGAGGTAAAAATTCAGGCAGATAAGCGATAGGAACAAGTCTTGTCAGCCTCTCCAAGTCTACTGAACAAAATGTTCTGCAATAATGGAGCTGGTTTACACTGCCCAACACAGCAGCTACCAGTGACATATGGCTGTGGGACCCATAAAATGTGTCTAGAAACTAAATTTTAAATTTCATTTCATTTTAATTAATTAAAATTACAGTTAGCAGTAATGAACACAGCTCTATGCATAAGAGAAAGCACAGACAGACCTCTTTCTCATGCTTATCAATTTCATCTGATACTGCTACATGATATCTAATATTAAAAAGGAGAAAACTTGGTAAAGTTTTGCAACTGTAATAACTATTGAAGAGGTTGCCATTAATAAGCCTTTTGCTCATGAATGTGAGAAATGTTTGATCAGGCTGACTCTGAAATAGAAGTTCAAATACACATATAAAAACAACAGCTTCATAAACGAAATGTTATAATGAACACAATGGTTAAACTAGCAGAACTTCTCATAACTAATAAATTGATGAAACATTTTCACACATATCTTAAACATACATACCATACATACCCAAAATGACAATTCTTCAATGAACTGTTCTAGGTGATGAAAAATGGTTACAGTTCCTACTCAAAAGACAAAATTTGTTTTTTCCCTGTACCAATTTGTCCATGGCATCATGTAACTATGAGCTGTCAGGTTTCAAACATGGTCATAAAACAAAGGACAGCAACCTCTACAACAATCAAAACTATAACCTTGGTTTTGTCATAGTCTATGGTTCTAAAGAGAGGTAAATTCATTGCTTATAACTTAAGATTAATGTCCTTTTTAAAAAAATATTTCCCACCCAGTTCTATAAGAATATCTCAAGAACAATCCAATGAAACAAAAGATCCTACCTCAGGTTCTTTGACATTACCTAAGTCCAAGCTTTCTCTTTCCTGACAGAAAATACAAAAGGTAAAGCCACATCAGACTTAAAGATTTGCTGGAGCTGCTCACCTGGTCAGCTACTCCTCCAGGCAGAATGGTTCTGACAACCACCCCAGTCGCCTTCCCTCCTATGATGCCAAAGCCCAGACCAGATCCATCATTCACCAATTCAATGGTTTCTACATGCTGCCAGGGAACCTAAAAATAAAGGCCCCATATGAAGTTGTGAAATTTCATAAAACACTAAAATTTTATATTATTGTACATGATATTATTATTTTATTGGTTTTAAATAAGTGAAGTCAGACATGCTAACAAGCATCCCAGAATCCCTTGCATCTTGCACATTTCTCTCAACAGATGATCACTTAATGATATAATCCCTCACAAAATCATCAATACATCATTTTTTAATAGATTTGCAAGATCTTTTATGCAACTTATAGAAAAGAAAAAACAGATCAAGGGAAAAAAACTCTTGTGTGTCAAAAATGTCTTCTGCCTAATCCTGCCTCAAGGAAGGATTCTAAATTAAATGATTTCAAAGTCACTAGAAGCTAACTGTCATAACATAATTGCATAATTTACAAAGCAAAGTTAAGATTGTATCTGTTTACAGATACATTTTAGTTTCCTTTAAAAATCTACTTTTCTTTGAGAAATGCTGTAAAAAAAAACTAGACAAAGAAAATAATGTTTAGAAGCTAGAAATACAATCATAATTTAAAAACACATATTCCAGCTTAAGGAGCGCTAAAAGAATAAAAAGACAAAAATTGAAGAAGTAAAAAGAAACTATAGGAACTACAAAAAAAAATGTGTTCTTTGCCTTCTCAAAATTTGAGGCACTCACCGGATTAGAATGAGCTGAAACTGTGCTGGCTGCAGATGGAGAACGGGAGGCACGAGGGCTGGCGACCCGTGACAGGGCGCCCCTGGCAACAACCAGCTGGACAGTCTCCTTGGCCTTCTGCAGGATGCTGACAGCCTGCTGACGTGTCACTGTCTGATCCAGTGCCTGTCCGTTGATAGCAAGGATCTGATCTGTCTCCTTCAGTCTCCCATCTCTACCAAGGAGGAAAACAGGGTGAAAAGGGACACATGGCAGCTCTCGAGGAAATCATAGGCTCGTTGGCATGGACGTCCAGGTTATTCTTAATGCTATTTCTGTCATTTTTAAGGTTTTTCCCTGCTGTTTTACTTTTAAAAATATACCCTGAGGTAATTCACTGCTATTTCTATTCAATCTTCCATTTAGAAAGCTCATTTTTACTGTGTAACTACCCAATATACTCAATACAGTTTAGTCCCCTTGTTTGAAAATTAAAGTATTGGGCCGCGGAGAGAACCCAGCAGAAGAAAAGCCTGCTTCCGCAAGCTCAGGGACCAAAGTTAGATCCCCCATCTCACAGGCTGCACCCAGCCCTGCCCCTGGGGCAAGCTGAGCCAGGGAATGAGCCCAGGTGTGGTGCTGCACTGGGGAGGCTGAAAACAGGAGGATCACTATGAGTCCGAGCTGCATAGCTCAACCCTGCACCAAATACATAAATGAAATAAATAAATAATAAATAAAAATGAAAGGATCAATGTATTATTGTTTGATCATATTATGAAAGTATAGTTCAAATTACCTATTTCAATTTAATAATTTTTAAAATCAAACAGAGGTCATTTTATAGCAAGCAAAACACTATTCTAATCATTTTTTTCTTTCATTACTAAAAAGTAATTAAACTACTTAAGGGCTTCTTTCACATTTCAAAGGCTGCGCTTTGTTTTTTTTATGTATTTAGTACAGGATCTACAGGGCCTCACTACACAGAATGGACTCATAGTGAGGCTTCTGTTTTTCAGCCTCCCAAGTGCTGGGATTACAGGCACATGCTACCACGCCCAGCTTCAATGGCTGTCTCAGTGGGCCCCAGGGTTGGGCCTGGCAGGGCAGGTGGTGGGGGGCTGCATCTGCCTAAGAAGGTGTTTTAATCCACTGAGCCATCTGGTCAGCCCACGCCTTGCTTTTTATTACAGCAATGTTAATGACTTATAAAACTGGTTAATACAAGAGAATGTTCAGTTTTTGTTTCCATTCACCTTTGCTTTTCTATATTTTCCTAAAAGGATCAAAAACTTCTGAATGTGACATCAAAAACAGAGAAGACACAGACAATCTCACCTGTGAGCCACACTGCCCTCTTGTATCTCTTGCACAAATATTCCCAGCTCTCCCCTGTTCTCACTCCTGAGCCCCACAACACTAAACCCAAGGCTTCCACATGAAGGTTTGAGGAGCTCAAAAGCTTCTATATGACGACCCTGTTCAGGAAACAAAGCAAACAATAAAACTAAGAGCTAATTACTGTAATTAACAGTCATCTCACTAGAGACATTACTTTGTTTATAATAATGAAGCAATCCAAAAATTTTCCAAGATAATTTTACTAATCACCCATAGGTCATTTTACTTCTCCTATATAATATTTTAGGAACATAACATGTTATATTGATTTTTTTTTCTTTTTGGTACTGGGGATTGAACTCACCACCTTGGACTTGCCAGGCAGGCCCTGAGCTACTGAGCTATAATCCCAGCCTGAATTCTAAATATGCTAATTAAAAAAGAAAAATGTAATAAAAGCAAATATAATCACCAATGTCTCACAAAAACTTTTTAATTTCAAATTATTTCAGATAGTATAAATGGTACTGTATCATCCAGGACAATGAGGAAAAATGGTAAATCTTACCTGAGCCATATTTTTGATCAACTGATCAAATTCATCACAAATAGGTTTCCCATTGATGTACGGAGTACCAGGTTCTGTAAGTGCCTCTTGATTCCCATTATTTGAGGATAATAGAGACGATTCATTTTGCAAAGCAGAAATCACTGAGGAGCTGAGATGAGGAGTATGGGCATACTCCACGCTGGAAGTTGCTGAAGTTGCAGGGTTTACCTAACGTAACATAGAAATTAACAGCAATACTGTTACTTCTCGTGAATTAGCAAATTAGCAGAGGTGGGTTCAGGAGCCCCCCAAACTTACAACTAGTATTAAAAGTGAGGATGGTTTTGTAGCTACTTTGCCTTTCAAGGTGGTCCCTGAATCCAACTCCCTGCAGTCACTGTCAAGAGTGTGTGCTGAGCTGGCAGTCTGAAGAGCTGTGCACTTTGCAGTCTGGCCCTCTCAGAGAGCAGGGACACAGTAGTAACAACAAGCAGCTGTCCACTCACATATATCCATCAGCCCTCTGTGTGCTTGTTATAAAGAACTCCAGTTATGACTTCTAACTGATAAAATACTAAGTCAATCTTAATTTCTGAAGGGTGCCAGGAATGGCATTTTATCTACAATTATGTATCACAAAGATTAAATCGATGAGTTTATAGGATCATACTGAGCTTGTTCCCTAGCACTCTGATCTTCACCTGCCTGCTTAGCGCTAGCTACAAGACCTCCTTACTGTTTTTCAAATGGCCAGACTTTCCACTCAGCTAGCCACATACAGCCTTTCCCAGCTATCCCATGTGTACTACCCACTTTCATGCAGGCATGCTGTCCCTGACAACCCCATCCACACAGCAGCCACTGCCATGCTCTGAAAACTGAACCTGCCCTCCTTCACGGCACTCATCGCCACGTAACGGACCCTGCTGTCAAGGGGTTTCTACCTCAGTTATAGAGACAAACTGGAATGCAAAATTCTCTAGTAGAAAAAATTGGGCAATTTATTTTCTATAAAGTGCTCATTATCTAGAAAAATGCCTTTCAGAGTTGGCTGTCAATAAACATTTGCAGAATAAACATTTATTTATCCATGGTTAAGGACCTACTTGTATCCAGTCTCCCAAGCAGCCCTTAGAGTATCATCATCTCTGCTTTACAGATGATGAAAGTGTACACCTAATAAGTAGTTTCTGACATAGATTTTAAATGGTTTTTCTTTCATCTGTGTATTACATACAAAGCATATAGTCATTGGAAATGTCACTTCTGGAAGTAAGATATGAAGTAAAGACTCTCCATTGAAAGAAATACCACAATATTTTAAAATGTCACTAACATATACCTATATCTATATCTATATCTATATATGTATTTATTACTTATCCTTAAAAACTAAACCAAAACTTAATAAAGTTACTAAAGTTACCAAGAATTCAATAATTATATTGGATATTGATAGTTATAATAAGATCATTGTGTTATGGAGACATATTTGGGAATCCTTTCAAATGCTTATTTTAAAATCCACAGCAGGCATGATCAATTATTATTTTTTCTAAAGCAAGCTTCTCATGCCAAGATTAATTTTTTTTAATCCTGAGCCATGGCAACTCTAGCAAAGTCTGCCAGCAGAAGATACACAGCTCAGGTTGAAGCAGATGGCAGAATGAAATTTGTGACAGGCTGAAGATCCCACACACCAAGACCCAATGCCTGTGGTATGTTTGCATAGGAAAAAATATTTGGACTTCGACTGTGGTAAGCCAGAATGAACGAATCACATTCCAAGAATAGTCTATAAGAAATTAACTGCTGAACTAGAAATTCTGATACTATGAAAGATGAGCTACAAAGCCATTCCAAGAATAAAGTTAGCAGGAGCAGAACAAATACAAGATTATAATACAAAAACTCATATATAAATACTATCAATTGTCTCTTCAATTTATTAAAGGTTTAAAGAATGCCAATTTCAGTCATTTTTTTAACTTCCTTGAAGTGTATATAAATGAGAAAGCAACTCTTACATATTTAAAATGGACCATGTATAGAAAAACTGTAATTTTTACTATCAATAGTATTACTTATAAATTCAAAAACTTATAAGAAAAAGTACCAAAATACATTTTGATTTCTGTAGCACTGTTTATTATTATGGTTTTCTGAAGTACATTCTCTCAGAAACAGCAGTGAATTTTATTTGCTTTGAAAGATGTATTCATAACACACGAACTATAAATGCTTCATAGAGAGTACTTGACTCTTGGGCTGAGAAGATAACTCAGCAGACTAACCTTAGGCAAGCACAGGGACTGGGGTTCCATCCTGCCCCGCCCCCAGGCACGCCGAGCCAGTGACCAAGTCCAGGTGTGGTGGTACACACCTGTAACCCCAGCACCGGGGAGGCTGAAAACAAGAGGATCACTACAAGTCCCAGCTGCGTACTGAGACCCTGTACAAGATACATTAAAAAAATCATTTTGAGAGTAATTGACACTCATCCTTGATTTATAGAGTATAAAATAAACAGAAGAAAACACAAATATACAGTGATTTTTGCACATATAAACAATCTGTACAATTTATGGGAGTTGCTAGTAGTGAGCAAGAGTCCCAGAAGATTCCAGTGCTAACTTCTCTCTGAGCACTTAAATCCAGAAAGAACTTTTACATAATAAGCAAACGTGTATTAACTGAATTTATGTATTTTAATTAGTGCTATTACCTGAACAGAACTTGGATGAAGATTATGTAAAGCATCATTTTAAAAGTTTTCAGATTATTTATAGAAGGGCAAGATATAATCTCAGAATTCAGATGTACAGCTAAGATTCTTACAAAATGCAATCAGAACTAGTAATTGAGTTATTGTAGAAGGTCGCACAAAGCAGAAAGCATACCACATAACAAATATATAACCTACCTACTGTATTTTATTTTATTTTATTTATTTTTTGTGGAACCAGGGATTGAACTCAGGACCTTTCACTTGCCAGGCAAGTGTTTATTCTACTGAGACAACTCCCCAGCCCCTTATTTTTAATTTAAAAAGTATCTATATAATTCATAAATACTGACAGATGGATGAGTCTTTAACACTGCTCCAAAATTGGGAGATGGTTACCATCTTTTTATATGCAGAAAAGTACATTTGTGGTTTTTTATTAAGCTTATTGGTACATTTTAGGTATACATAATGATTACAGTCACTATAGGGAATTTGTAACTGTACATGATATAGCTTGAATCTTCTTTCTCCATTGGGCTGAGAAGATAACTCAGCAGACTAACCTACCAGCCCTTCAATCCTCTGTCCGCTCCATAAGTACAAAAGCTTTGTTTTCATTTCTCCACCTCTGCTCATCACTCATTTACTTTTCCCTTCCTTCGTTGCCCCATCCCTAGTATCCCATTTGGACATTTTCTTCCTATCTCATAACATGTTACACATTTTGGTCTTCATTTATACTTTCAGTTTCTCACACCAGAGGTATTTGCATTAAGTGTGTGATTTATTTCACTTAAGAGTATAGCCTCAAGACACATCCATTTAAGTTAGAAATATATCAAGCTTTTCCTTCTTTATAGCAGAGAAGTGCTACATTGCATTAAGAAATCTTCCTTATATATTCATCAGTTCATAGGCATCTGTGCTGTTTCCAAGATGATTTAGCTGGAAACAAACGGTACTACTATAACCATGGGGGTGCATATATCATTCTGACATGACACTTTTAATTCTTTTGTGAATATACCAAGAACAGGAACAGCTGGATTGAAAAATTACACTAATGGCATATTATTTTATTTTTAGCGTTAGCTCTTCAAAGTAAAACATCAATTTGAATAGCTCAAAAAACAATTTTATTGAGGAACTATTCTAGAATTCTATGAAATCTATCCTCAGGGTTTTACAGTGTGTTTAAACAAAGTTAATCCAACTATAATTGTCATACAGTTTTCAAAAGAAGTTACATTTCTGTAGAAAAAGTCATAATTGTTTAGATCTTCATAAAATTAAAAACTAAGTCTAAAGAGCCGAAAGAACTTGAAAAGCAACTTTTGACAATGTGCCTATCCTAATGGAAGCTGAAGAAATATAAGCAAGGGTAGACTAAACAGACAAATGTTTAGTGTCCTGGGCATGAATCAATTTGCCTTACAGGTGAGATGGACAGTATTTTTCACCCTAGCAAATTACTTAGAGTTGTGCTAATATGCTGCTTCTGTAATACATCCCAAGAAAACAAGAATTCTCTTTACTTCTATATATAATTATGTGCTATTTTTTTAAAAAGTAAAGATATCAAAAAGATACTAACAGTTCTACCCTATTATGTTGATAAAAATGAAGCAGTAAGTCCAGCGCACAGTAAAGAGGATTACACAAGAGCATCAGGAGGCAGGGATTACTGGTGTCCATTGTAAAGGCTGACTACCATGGCACAGCAGGGTTAAATCCAAGACAAAGAGAAAAACTTTAAAAGCACAAGAACAAAAAGGCACCTTGTCTTCAAAGAAGATACAACAGCTAACTCTGCAAGCAGGACCACACAAGCCAGAAGCCAACAGGTATATAAAAAATAAAAATCAAATTAAATTAAAAATACTTATGGATCAAACATCAAGCTAGCAGCACACACACACTCTGTTGCTTTTGATGAATACAAAACAGCAATGTAAATTCTTACACCGAAAAAAAATTATCTTAGAAGATCCCAAATGCAGAAAAGACTGTAAGTACCAAAAGGTTTAAAATGTGGGTGAATTGGCAACAGTTGCTTAAAATAGCAGATGATCTAAACTGTCAAGTTTTAGATATATATGGCAATAGAGTAATACAGTTTCACAAAAGGCAAGAGTAATGCTCCTAATGGGGCTGAAGAATTCTACAAGCCTTGAATATTCCAGAAAATGGTAACTGCACTAACTAAAAGCAGGATCAAGAGGGACGGCCAGATAGCTCAGTGGACTAAAGTGCCTGCTTCAGCAGAGCTCAGTGGCCGGGGTTCCATCCCCAGCATGCCATGCCAGCCCTGCCCTCGGGGTACACTGAGATGGCGATTGAGACTGGGCATGGTGGTGCGCACCTGTAATTCCAGTGCTTGGGAGGCTGAAAACAGGAGGATCACTACGAGTCCAATCTACATAGTGAGACCCTCTACACCCTGTAGACCCTGTACTAAATTCATAAAAAAAAAAAAAAATTGGGATCAAATCAAAGACAC